AGATCTTAAATCACAAGATAATGTTGCTTTCTATAGCTTGTTGTTTACTCTGTAAAAACAATGCAAGAAAGTATATAATCAAGGTCTAAAGTACTTGGTGCAGCTTGTCAGAAAAGGGAGTAGTCGCTGTGGGCTGAAATAGGGCAAGAATACTTCAGGGACGTTTCTTTGACACTCCCCTCTAAGATCTGTAACCCTGAGTCCTATCCTGGCGTATATGTGATCCTTACTACACAGTGAGGGGAAAGCCATGCATAGGTGCTTTGAGTGCTCCAAGTCAGATGTTCGTGAGATAGTCCAGCCCTGGCTATTATTACTCACATTCATTCCCACTTCCCAGCCCATGGTTTTTTTGTGTGTTTTTTTTTTAAAGTCATTTTATTGGGGGCTCATACAACTCATCACAATCCATACATACATCAGTTGTATAAAGCACATTTGTACATTTGTTGCCCTCATTATTATTTTTTAAAATTGTTTTATTGAGGGCTCGTACAATTCTTATCACAGTCCATACATACATCCATTGAGTCAAGCACATATGTACACCTGTTGCCCTCATCAATCTCAAAACATTTGCCCTCCACTTTAGCCCTCAATATCGTTTGCTCATTTTTCCTCCCCCTCCCTCCTGAACCCTTCATAATTCATAAATTATTATAGTTTTGTCATAAGTTACACTGTCTGACATCTCCCTCCGCCCTCTTCTCTGCTGTCCATCCCCCAGGGAGGAGGCTATACTTAGATTCTTGTAATTGGTTCCCCTCTTCTACCCCACATTCCCTTCACTCTCCAGGCCACGCCCCTCTCACCGCTGGTCCTGAAGGAGTCATCTATCCTGCATTCCCTGTGTTTCAAGTTGCTATCTGTACCAGTGTACATCCTCTGGTCTAGCCAGACTTGCAAGTTCAAATTCGAGTCATGGTAGGGGGAGGGGGGGGGGGGCGGAACCCAAACCCAGCCCATGTTGTTGCAGCCACTATGCCAATCCATATTGTTGAAGGGCCTGCTCTTTTTCACTGACTGTCTGCTTTTCCAAGCATGAGAAGCAGTTTGTATGTACTGTAACAGAATCACATAAGATCAACTACATTAAATTTCCATAAATCAATACCAGTTATGCCACTATTGTCCAAGGAAGAGGGGAGCATCCAAACCATGATTTCAATAGTGGATCCTGGAAAAATCCGTGGAGTCTCCCAAGACCCTATTTTATCATCAGCCACTAATTAATCAGCACATTATAAATCATTCTATGAAAGATGTTGATGTTAAAATGCTAAAGAGGATAAAGCCTAATTGTAGATAGAGCATTTTACTAAAAGATTTCATATCAATCCATTGAAAGGACTGTAAATATTCAGTACACTCTCTATCATGGATCCCTGGTGATATAGTGGGTCACAGGTTGGGCTGCAAACCACAACGACAGCAGTTCAAAATCACCAGCCACTCCACAGGAGAAAGATAGGCTTTCTACTCCCATTATAAAATTTTCCACAAATTTTTTGAAGGTCCCCATCCCTGGCTCGGCATATGTGCGAGACACTGTTTGAAGTTCTGGGTATATAGCAATGAAGAATACAAAAATTCCTTTCCTTTGGGAGTTTAGTTTCTTGTGTAATTTGCGTCACAATTTCATAATGTAGGTGCTACTGCCTCCATTTTACCTGGAAGGAAAGCTTTCATGACTTGCCCTAGGTTACACAAAGCCAGGATTCAAAACCTGCTGCTATTACCCACTGTGCTGTGCTCCACAAATTGTCTGCATTTGTGCTGTTGAAAGAGAACAATTCGTTTCAGGGTCTCAAACAGTAGTTACCACAAATCTATTTGAAAATCCAAAATACTCTCTTCCCGAACCCATCTTAAAAATTGTGCATGAAACTTTAAACAAGTCAGATTCCCAAATGTTCGTTTATGGGCTTTAGTTTTAAGAATATTTGAACAGGAAAGTCATGTTTACAGCTCACAAGTATACAAGTCTCTCTCTCTCTCTCTCTCTCTCTCTCTCTCTCTCTCTCTCTCTCTCTGGTGCACACACACACACACACACACACACACAGAGATTCATTGACCAACACTTCTTATTGTGTTAGTCTGGGTAGACTAGAGAAACAAATTCATAGACACGTGGGTATAGGAAAGAGCTTTATATTTGAGAGCTATTGAATATTGAGAAAACATCCCAGCCCAGTCTAGATCAAGTCCATAAGCCTGATATTAGTCCACATGTCCGATACCAATCTATCCGCTTCAGACTCATGAAACACATGCAATGACACCGAAGGCAGAAAGATCACAGGCCAGTGGGTGGTAAGCTTTATGGATCCAGTGGTGATGTAATTATCTCAGTGCTGACAGTCTTTTCCACTCCAGACATCTGGCTCCATCAGCCTCTCTCCATGTGTCTTCTTCACAGGGATATCTCACAGGAAATGAGCTGAGAGAGACAGAGTGAGTCTCCTCCTCCAAGGAGGAATACTAGAATTCTCAGGAGAAGGCCATTCCCACACAGAGGCCTCATTGGCTATATTCTGATTGACAGATTAGACCCCACCCCTTCATTCTTAATCCTCTCAAGTCCCAAATTGACACAAGATTATGTAACTACCACACTTATTGATCAAAGTTATATTTTTTGCTAAAATAAGATGCAATCGTTACCCTTTTTAAAACAACTAATAATCATTGCTAATCGTTGTGAGTTGCCATTCACAAATTCTTATTTGTCATCCAACTCTTAAAATCTTATTTTTAAGGATTGTATAGAGAAAAACTTGATACTGATTCTAAGCTAATTCAAAGAAATAATCACAAGGATCCTATTCTGTATACCTGTTAAAGGATTCCTCAAAATTATACCAGAATGGGGTCTTAAATTGATTGTGAAATTTTGAGAGACACCATTCAATATCTCAAACAAACAAATGAAAGACTTCACAAAGCTGAAGTTACTGATCCTAAGGAAAAGCAAAACTGGGCAAACAGATATCCTGCACAGACCAGTCTACTAATCCTATATATAGTGCTTTAGGGAATTGTAGAGTTCAGAGATTGGCAAACCGAGTTAATGTCTGCTGTAGACACATGATCATTCAAATAGTATAGTTATTGATTGGTTCCAGCATGTGAGCTCTTTCCTAATTGGCTGATTTCACAAGTAAGGGGTACCACTAATTGATTTGCAGAAGTATATTTACTGGTAGTTTGTGGTAGTTACTCGTTACCATAGCAGTTGTGAGCTATCAAGTGGAATCTGACTCAGAGACCCTGTGTGACAGAGCATAACTACCCTCTTAGTTCCTCAGCTGTACTCAAAAGAGAGCAGAGCTCCAGGTCTTTTCTCCCCTGGAGCTGCTAATGTGCTTGATTCTTCGCATGGACCTTCCTGTTAGCAGCTGAGTACTGAGTCACTGTGCCACCAGGGCTCCTCACCATAGCTGTAGAACTGTTTTATATTAAAGTTTAAAACCAGTTCTGGTGGCTCTCACAGCTACTGAACAGTGTGGAGTTTTTTAGGAGTGTGAGAACTTTTCTTATGATTTCCCACTATGGAGCGTTTTAGGATCTTCCCTTAGATTTCCCTACTTCATCACAGTGAACTATGCCATTTCATTCTGAGTCTTCAGCTGTACCTCTACCTTCAGATCATTTTCAAGATTCTTCAGGGACAAAGAGGCTCCTTGCCTACACCTCCCTGTAACTTTAGGGCTATCTGTTTGGTATTCACCTCATATCTCTGTCCTAGGCATTGGTGAACTTTTTCTGCAAAATACGAAAAAAAACCTCTACTGCCGTATTTCCAGTTCCGGCTCAACATTGCTATATAGGGTTTCCAAAAGTCTAAATTCCTATGGGAGCAGATAGCCTCATCTTTCTTCCATGGAACAGCTGGTGGGTTTGAACCGCCAGCCTTGCAATTAATAATCCAATTCCTAGCCCATATTAACCACCAGGACCCCAAACTCAATGACATCGAGTCAATCCCACCTCATAGTGTGACCTGATAGGACGAAGTAGAACTGCTCCTGTTTTCAAGAATGTAACTCTTTACGGAAGTAGAAAGCCGCCTCTCTCCCTTAGAGAGGCTAATGGTTTCAAACGGTTGACTTTGTAGTTAGCAGCCTGGCACATATCTACTTCACCACCTGCAAAATGCCAGATACTTAAACTACCTTAGACTTTCAGGCCAGGTGGTCCCTGTGTGACTGTTGATGTCACTGTAATAAACATGAAACCATAAGCAATACACGAATGAGTGTGCCTGTAGTCTAATAAAATTTCATACACACTAAAAAAGGTAGTGTTGACCTTCACTATACCTTCAGCTCAATAAGAACATTGGTTTTTGCCTTTTATTTCTTAGGTATATCCTTAACTTTCAATAGGCATTCAGCTATCTGTCACTCAGGGTTGTTGTACATGGTTTGTCATATATTTGCATTTGTTTCCTGTTCTTATTTTGGAGGTGGCTTCTGAGAAAAGGTTGGTAGGAGACATGTTTGTCACTATAATCATGTAGCCCAGCTGTTCTCAATCTGTGGGTCGCGACCCCTTTGGGGGTCAAACGACCCTTTCACAGGCGTCACCTGGTTCATAACAGTAGCAAAATTACAGTTATGAAATAGCAACGAAAATAATTTTATGGTCGGTGGTCCACCACAACATGAGGAACTGTATTAAAGGGTCGTGGCATTAGGAAGGTTGAGAACCTCTGGTACAGCCAATAAAATACTCGTTTGTGCTATTTTCCAAGTTCACCCACCACCTTTTTTATTAACAGACTAATTATTTCATTCTGAGCTAATACAGGTATGGCTAAAAGTAATGTTTCACATGTGGTCTCCTGCTGCCACTGTGCCAGAGTCCTACCAGTAGGAGCCCTTTGTGTCGTGCTCCAGATTAATCTCCTGTCATCGGTAATCTTATTTATTTAAGAAGCACATGAATACAAAAATATTACTTAAAAAGTCATTGCCTTTCTTTTCTTTTTAACAGGCTTAACAACAAATTCACACCATGCGTGAATATAAGTTAGTCGTACTTGGCTCGGGAGGTGTTGGAAAGTCTGCTCTGGTAAGTCATGCTTACTGTACTTCAACTATTCACTCTGAAACATGCTCTCTTTCTATTGAGATTTAGGTGAAATCTAATGATTGCTTTAGAAGCACTATTTTTCTCATAATCTTACTCAAGTCTCAGTTGTATGTGGGTAAGTCATCTTAGAGCATTAGTTCCAAACTCGCATAAGGTATTCCAGAATACAGTTTCGAAGAAGCACAGAATATTAGATTGATAAATGTTTATGATTTGCAATTGTGTTTATTTGTATTTTAGAGTCAGTTAAGAATGAATCACTCTCCCTGTAAATAGACTCATAATTTTTTTTATATTAGGAATTGTCAACACTTTAAAAAATCTTTACCCTTACCTTTGGCTGTCTAGATTTTTACATAATTTTAGCAACCACATTTTGTTTCAAGAATACTATAGTAAAAATAAGACACAACTTGATAGGCTGAGATAAGGAGGAAACTTGGAGAAAAAAGCTTGAATACTTGAGTTTAGTGAAACCCCAAAAGCAGAAACAGATTTTCTCTCCCAAGTGAGAGAGAAAATTGTCTCACTAGGCTGCTTAGATTTAGTTACCTACCTCAGAACTCGACATGCTTGCATCAAACTGAGAGATGGGTCCAGTGTGATGCACGTTGCTTTTCACTTGGAAATACAAAGGAGTTTTAAAAAGTTCAGGAGAAAATAAAATTAAAAGGTAATAGAATTTTCCCCACACTTCTGTGAAGCACCCTTGTATAATCTAAGCAATGGGAAGATGTGTTCTATGTGCCCACGTGTGTATTGTTTGTTGTTTTTATTTTCAAAAGAAATGTTAATATTAACGGGTTTTTTTTTCCAGACTGTACAGTTTGTTCAAGGAATTTTTGTTGAAAAATATGATCCTACGATAGAAGATTCTTACAGAAAGGTATATACATATAAATATGTTTTAGCTTCAAAATTATTGAGTGTTAAATACTATGTAGGATGGAGGCAGATTTCATTTATACAGTTAATTAATTGGAAACTCAGACTTGATTATTACCTTGCTTTGTGTTTGCCACTGTAGGAAAATCTTACATACCCATATGCACACACAAGAGAATAATAAGTAAAAATGATCATTTGACCTGCAGACTTTGTTAGGCCATCTATTCCACATAGTAGCCTCCATGTTTTCTCCCTTATAGAAAGATTGAATAGTATTTTCTGCTTAGAGTTCCTTCACAAAATGCTAACAATAAGCTCAAACTCACTGCTCTCAGTCAATTCTGATGCGTAGGACAGAGTAAACTGCCCCTTTGGTGTTCTGAGACCTTAAATCTTTTAGCGGAGTAGAAGTTTCTACCTTGGAGCGGCTTGTGGGTTCAAACTGCTGACTGACACGGTGGCTAGCAGGTCAGTGCAGAACCCACTATGCCACCAGGTCTCCTTACACTGCTAACAATAAGTGAATTCCCAAATCTGCTAACACAGCTTAGGACAATAAAGCTCAGCGTACAGACTTTTTAATTCAGTCTGGAGAGAGTTGGCTTCCCGCCTTTAATAGCCTCTAGCCTGGTCCTTGCTGTTGTACAGATAGAGTCTCCATCTTTTCTTTCATTACCAGTCATCCAAACACCTAGAAACCCTCCTACACCTCAGCTGTAAACTGTGAGACAATATTACTCTTACTTTCTTTTCACATCTTATTGTAAGTATTTTTTTGTTAACCATAGGAATGGCAGTTAAGAAGTTAAAAGGGAAAACAGGGAGAGTTCAGAGAATTCATGGGGGACAGATATGGGGAGGTTCATGGAAAATGTCCACTATCTTTTAATTCCATTTTTCTAGGCATTTCCTTAAGCCCCTCACATAATTCATTTGATGGATATCACACTGCTCGCTACCAGTAATGGTAGGGGCTGTGATTAATCTAAAGAAATGGAGATAGCTAAAATATCAGAGAGTTGAGATAGAAATATTTCTAAGTTGTTGGAACCATTTTCTAGCTATTTTGAATACTTTTCCCTCCAGTATTAGATGTTGCATGTTGACTTTTGAGACTTGATCTTGTAGGTGGAGTTGGGAACAATTTACGAGTGTGTGAACATTGATCACCTGATTATTTTCCCATTTTGTTGAAGTATTGCTTGGGGTTTGTTTGTTAAGTATCTGTAATCTGTGTTTAAAATCATGCTAGCTTTTGTGTATATGTATATGTATAATTTAAAGGTGTATTTCCATTTATCCCTAGCAAGTTGAAGTAGATGCACAACAGTGTATGCTTGAAATCTTGGATACTGCAGGAACGGTAAGTAAAATAAAATACAGTTAGTACGATATTGGCCTTACAAATGATAGTACTTTATAATCAAATATTAGTTAAGTTTATTAAATGTGCTAGCATTCGATTTGAAACAATTTTTCTTATTCACTTGAGTTTTTACATTGTATTTTTATATTGTACTTTCTAGTTACAGCAGGTCAAGTACTGAAGAATTAATTAAACATTTATTTGCATGTAAGCATGCAACAAATTACAGTAGAACTCCAGACCTCAATGCTAATCTGCTCTAGAAGGAGCGTCGAGATGCGAGCAGTCGAGTTTCTGAATCAGTCTTTCCCATAAGAAATAACAAAATGGATTAATCCATTCTCTACCAGCAAGTGTTTACCGTAACCTTGCCTTTTTATACAAAACATTACACAGAAATTTCAAAGTAAGTAAGTTTAGAGTTAAATAATATAATTTAAATAAGAAACACAATAACCCACTCTCTACCAGCAAGTGTTTACCGTAACCTTGCCTTTTTATACAAAACATTACGCAGAAATTTCAAAGTAAATAAGAAACACAACATTTAAAAAGTTTTTAACAACTACAGTATGGCCCAAACCTTGAGATTGATGTGGGTTGGACTGGATTGTGGACACAGATGTGGAGAGGAGATAGGGACAGAGAGTCATTGTCCCCTTCCATCAAATCAACTGTAGCTGCTTTTCAGAAGGTTTTTCCCTGCTTTGCCTTTTTTCTCTAGGACCTGGCTGGCTTTCTCTAAAAAAATCTTTCTAATGTGGTCTGCTGTTGGCACTTCCTTAACTGTTTTCTAAAAGGGTTTACTAAATTATCATTAACAATATTGATAACACGGTTAACCAGTTCCTTATCATGATGATTCTTTTCAAAAAACTCTTTCTTGGTACCCATGTTTTTTTATCTGAAAACAGTACAAAAAGCCACAAAAACTAAGAAAATTACAGCAAAATGCTTGGAACACAGACGCAAAAGGTCTAAACAACACGTACTAACAATTCCAATTAATGCCAAGTAACCGAAACATGAACTGCTTCTCTTTACAAAAATCACGTACATCGGGTTGGATTCCAATGTTTTGCTTGAGCAAAATTTTCTCAACGTCTTGCGTTGAAATCCGATTATGTTGAGTACTGATACGGTCGAGTATCAGGGTTCTACTGTAAATATATTACCATATTGCAAGTAATGGGAAAAATACTTGTGCATGCACTCATTCTTCAGTAATTAGGTGAGTTATTTTTGAATGGTATCTTACCTCTTTTGAAGTATTTACAGGCCAGGTAGAGTTATAAGTATTTGAAAGTGAGAGGAAGATTTATACTGGGTATACTGGGTATATGGTATTCAATTAATCTCTGAATGCTTAATATATGCTGGCATTTAATGAACGAAAACTGGTAAGAAATTATAAAATGAGGGTACTAACTTGAGGATACCATTTGGAAGACATGCATATTAAGACACTTATAAAGGCTGTTACCTTTATAAGCTTCCTTAAAGTAATTTTAGAAAAAGGATATTACTGACATACTTGAGTGTTATTTACTATAAATCTACTTTGGTATATTATTTTTAGGTAAAAAAAAAAACTATTTTCTGAAATACCAGTTTTCACTTTGTATTTTGCCAAGCTATATGGCTTAAGAAATGTTACATAATAGTATTTTTAATTAAGCCGTAATTTTAGACTTTAAAAACTGTTAAATTAACTGGTTGTTTTTTTTTTTGGCTGTGTGTCCTGCTCCCCCCCCCCAATTGTAGGAACAATTTACAGCAATGAGGGATTTGTACATGAAAAATGGACAAGGTTTTGCATTAGTTTATTCCATCACAGCACAATCCACGTTTAATGATTTGCAAGATCTGAGAGAACAGATTCTTCGAGTTAAGGATACTGATGATGTAAGCTAACTTCCCAATCAATATATTTTCAAGATTTTATTGTAATGGTATCAAATTTAACTTTTTTCAAGTTTATGGGGGTTTTTTTAATGCTCTTTCTTAGAAGGCCAAAATACATGTGAACATTCATAATGTACTTTCAAATATGTGTAATGTGAAAATAGGTATAATGCTTTTTTCAAGTTTGAGCAAACATTTTCTTGCTTTCCCCATCCTGTGCAAAATACATTTTATGCCTTGTCAATTTTTTTAACAGTTTTTTGGCATCTAATTCACATAGACAATTCGGTAGTTTAGTCACATCAAGAAAAGTACCAGCACCACTCATGTTAGTCTGGGTAGACTAGAGAAACAAATCCATGGACACACATATGTGTATAAGAAAGACATTTATATGCAAGAGCAATTGAACATTGAGAAAGCATCCCAACCCAGTCCAGTCCAAGTCCATGAGTCCAATACTAGCTCATATGTCCTGTTCAGACTCGCGAAACACATGCAGTGATGCCGAATGCAGGATGATCACAGGCCAGCAGGTAGAAAGTCTTTGGATCCCATGGCGTAAGCATGGGCTGGCAGGGCTGGCAGGGCTCTCTACGTGGCTTCTCCAGCTTCAGAGGTCTGGTTGCATCAGGGTAGGTCCATGCTGCTTCTCCATATTAGGGCACTAGTGTAGTTCCATGTGTCTAGTCAGCTGCAGTGTCCCCCAGGGAGTGACAGAGAAGTGTCTCTGGCCTCCAAGGAGGAAGTACTGGATTTCCCAGAATTCTCAGGACACAGCCATGCCCAGACAGAGGCCTCATTGGCTATGATCTGATTGACAAGCTAGTCCCCACCTCTACACTCTTAATTCTCAAATTGACAAGCGAGTGTATATCTATCACAGTACCACAGTGCCCTTTCTATTTTTAAATCACATGTTATGTGTAGAAGGCAAATGTTAAGATTAGAGCAAAAGATATTCTGGCCAATTTTTGGTAGATTTTGCAACTTTTTAATAAGAATCAGACATACATATGAACACCTATCAAGTGGCTATGACATAGAAGGAACATTAAAATAATCTTCAAATTATTTTTCAGAATTTAAAAAATTCTAAGATTAATTTAGATGACCGTTCAGAATATCCCAGTTTAATTCCTATAAACAAGATTGCTTAGTGGTGATCTGGGGTAGCCCCCAGATTATGTTGATGCTGCTGGCTCTACCCTCCACTCTGAGAACCGAAGAATTACTATTAATTGTAGCAAGTAATGTAAGAGAGAGGAGACACCAATGATACAATGCTGCCATTTTTCAACTTCAGCACAAGAAAACCGCAGGAGCCTACCTAATTATAACAACCTCATTTTTTTTCAATTAATAAATATGTTTTTATTGTCTGTGATAGCTAGAGTAGTTTTTTTCAGTTGTTTGCATTAAGCAAGTACTTATTAAAAGCCTGATATGCCTAGGACTCTGAGATACCGGGAATGTAAAATTTTGTAAAGTTAATGAATCAAGAGTTTGCAAAATAAATACTGCTGACCCCTGAACAACATAGGTCATCCATGCATAGATTTTCTTTTTTAAAATTCTATATACTGATAGTCATCTCTGAGTTAACATTTTGCCTCCAGTAAATTGCATTTAACAGTGAAATGGTCATCTTTCTCATTTGTTCATTTTTCATCATAATTCATGCAATATTGTAAACCTTGGATAGTAGGGGATCCAAATGAAATGCCACTGGTGATGTTGGAAGTGCTCCTAAGAAGCAGAGAAAAATCGTGGTATTATAAGAAAGAGTTGAATTGCTCTGTATGTCCCCTAGGTTAAAATCTGGAGCTATGGTTACCCATCAATCTAAATAAATGCCTCCAGTGTAAGGACCGTTGTAAAAATATAGAAAAGGCTTTATGAAGATAGCAGGTCTTTGAGTTGGGCCCTGAAATGAAAAGTGGGAAATGCCAAGGTTTTGTAAATGTGAAAATAGGGGATCTGAGTGGATGGAGTGGCTCATTGGACTAATATTCAGAGTTGAGAATGTGCGGAAACTGTGGAAGTGTGGCTGAAAGATTGCTTGACAATTTGACTGGAGCATAGAAACTTGTCTGTAGTTCCTGTTGCTTTCCAGCTTGATAGAATAGCATTTTAACTTGCCTAGAGACTGTCAGATTTCCTACAGACTGTTCCAATTAGACATGTTAACGTGTTGCAGTGTGGTTTAACTTATAAAGGATATATATTTCAGATAAAGTTTGCTTCTGCTGGACCTTGTAAGAAAGTCTTTGATATTTTTTTCTTCATTGTTGATTGTTTACATAGTCAAAAACTATTCCCTACCAGCTAGGGATGGTGATGATACTAAAAGCTTTTTTGGAAGTGAAACTCATTGTGAAACTATTTTTAAAAATTCCTGCACATCAGCTACATCTCTAAAATATTTTTAATGACAGATTATGTGTGTATATTTATGTGTATAGATAGAACTTACAGTGTAGAACTGCTAAATTATTTTATATCCAAGTAATAAAACACTTTTCTCTCTCCTCTCCCCTCCCCCCACCAAAAGTTCATCTACTTTGAACTTAGTCCCCCCAAAAATGTTTAGGAAAGCCAAAGTAGTTATATTGGTTTTGCAGAGGAAATGTTATATTTTTCTTAATAGTGTTCTTTTAAAATTACACACAACACATGTCAAACACATGATGTCATTAATAGGTGATCTTGATATTGTTTGTTTCTTTTTTTAATTTAACTTTTTAACTTAAAAAACACCTTTTTGTATGGTGAAATTGAGAATATTTGTGTGATAAACGGAAGAAAACTTGAAGTTGATTCACATTTTATTAAATGTTGAAGTTTTAGAGTAACATTTCTTTCTACTTCTTGAATGTTATGTAGTTTTGCTTATTGTAATTAAGTTTATTTTGATAGAATTTTAAGGTTTTTTGTCTGTATAATAAAGTCATAGTCTTCTAAAAATGTCATATGAATGATTTTTACATCTACATTTAAACATGAGACTTTTCAATTTTTTCTCTTTTCTTTATGGTTGTCATTTGACATCTTCAGGAGATGAAAAAACAAGGGAGAAAACTGACAATGTAATAAGTTAATACTTATTATTTATTGTATTCAAAACCAACATTGTTAATGCTTTTATGTTTAAATTTTATTTTATATTGTTTTTTGTCATAATTATAAAATGTGATCCTTAGAATTCCTTGGAATTTGAAGGGCATATTTTTGTTTGTTTATTAACCTCACAAATACTATTTTTAGGTTCCAATGATTCTGGTTGGTAATAAGTGTGACTTAGAAGACGAAAGAGTCGTAGGAAAGGAACAAGGTCAAAATCTAGCACGACAGTGGAACAACTGTGCATTCTTAGAATCTTCTGCAAAGTCAAAAATAAATGTTAATGAGGTATGGCTAAATGTTTTATTTAGATAATTCTCTTTGTAATCCAGCATTCCTAATTAATGGGAAATAATATGTGTAATGTTAAATACAGCCCCACTGTGTACTCTAAATATGTGTGTTCAATCTTACAGGAAAAAATATTAATTTTAAAGATATGCATGTTAAAAAATTATATGAGTCACTCTATTGAAAACATAAGTAGTCCCAGTCTCTGAAACTCAGGGCAGTTCTACCCTGTGCTATGGGGTTGCTGCAAGTTAGCCTCGCCTCAGTGGGTTTGGGTTTGGGTTTGGGTTACTAAATGCTGGCACAGTGGAATTTACCTTGAGGGGGGAAAGATGACTAGATACAACACAGGTTGAAGGAGCTAGGTTAATGAGGGCATATGAAGAATATTATCCAAAAGATGGAGACAGAAATTCAGAAAGACCTACAGGGGTCTTACCTTGAAGGGGAGTTTAAAGCATGTTGTGTAGGAAGGTTTGAAGAGTTAGAGGATCGG